TTGGCAAATATATTATTGGTATTTGTTTTATTTTGGACTTTATTTTAAAATATGCCACTAAACATTCATAGCTTTTTAAAGATCTCTTTACCATTGCTCCTTTATAGTAGTTTCTCTAGGTGTGTTCTAGACACCACATGAACTTTATCACCTCTAAGAATGGGCCTTGAAACCCACATGACTGACACACTCTCAAAGTCTGAGAACCTCTGTCTGGTTCAACAGTTCCTAAATTCTAAATGTAAGTTCTCACTATGGAGACTTTTAGAAATTTATACAAGTCATTTCGTGACTTGGTATTGTAACCTTATATTAAGGTCAGCTGAAGACAGAGAGAGGGAAAAGTAGAATTTAATTTAGTACTATCATAATCAGTCAGCACCTTAGAAGAATAACTCCTTATTTTCTTAGTGCTTATATGCCCTACAATAAACGGAGCTTCTTACTTCAGGAGTCTTAAAAAATAGGAGTGTAGCAATCAGGTAATAAAAATGACACTAGATATACAAAAACGTAGTAAATTAAAGTTTTAAAGGCGTCCACTTCTAGACATTTGTTAGTGTAAAATCACATTCTAAATTCCTTTTCCTGAATTCTCTTTAATTGCTCATAAAACATTGGTAAAGGCATTATGATCACTGACACATCTTCCCAAAAAACCATTACATAAACTACATTTCTTCCTAGAGTTTTTCAAATCAACTTTCATGAGCTAAAATTAACTACTTTTGTTTGTCCCGAATCTTTGGGGAATGATACAAGCAATTTCTGGCAAAAATATTCACACAGTAAGCCTTTTTACAAATTGTAGGGGGCAGGGAAGGAAAAGACTTTAACAATAATCACTGTCTTGTTCTTTTGTTTAAAGGGGAATGAACTGACCCGCACATGCATTTAAAAACTGCAAATTATTTAAAATAGGTATATAAATCTAAAACTGGAAAACTACAAAACAGTATTTGGCAAAGCATGATTTACTTTAACCATTTAAAAAATCCATGATTGTTCTTCCTTGAAAAGCAAATTATTTTCCAAGAATCAAGACGGTCATCAGAAAACAGGATGTTAATGGAGAGAAACCACCACAGAATAAATAAAGTAGAGGGGTCAGTGTCATTCATACTAAAGAAAGTATCTAACAGTATGTCACTCTGTTCATGATTCATAGCAAAAGACAGCACATTCTCAACAGTGTTAACTGAGCCCTGTTACACCCAGTCAGCATCAGGCAGCCCTAAACAAGCTATGCCAGGACTAGCCTCCTTTCAGTTCCTCAGATGTGACAATCTCTTCCATGCTTTTACACATGCTGGTTCTTTTGTCTAGTTGACACATTCTCCCAATATTTTTCCATCATTGTGCTGCTCAGGCTTCAGGTCTCAGCTTCCTTTATTGCACATCTAAATTAGGTACTTTCATTTATAATCTCTCTAAACACCTCATAATCTTCCTCCACAGTATTTCTAACACACAGCAGATATATGTATACTGTATTTGTGTGAGGTATCTACCTTTCCCCAGTAGGCTATACAATGAGGGCAGAGACCATGTCTGCCTCAGACAATGTGCAGTCAGTATCTAGGAAACCTGTGTAAAAGCAGACACACTTAACTGAGTAAAGTGCATTCGGTATTCCATCTCGGGTAGCCATCATTTCATATCTGTACAACTCTAACAAGACTAGACCCTTCCCACCTGCTATGCCAGACCATAAAAATATTAACATTAAACAATGGAGGTTCCCTAATGTCCTGACAAACCTGGGGAGTAGGATATGTCCTACTGGGGAGTAGGATAATGCAAATAATGTCCTGGGGAGTAGGATAATGCAAATAAACTGCAGTAAAGTGTTTTGGGCAGAAACAGGGATGAAGGGGTGCTTCTGTTAGCACAATCACTCAGTTCTCAGTTAGGTCAGGAACCTGCCACTTGGCATTCTAGAGATCTGCTTGACTGCTTTCTTCCAACAGACAGTCTCACTTTGATTAATTTTTCTTTTCCATTAGACTTAAGGGTAGAATTGAATACAAATTTACTACTCTACCTTTTACCTCTGTGGTAGCCAGAAGTGGTACTCACATCCCTTGGGTGGCAGACCTGGCCAAAATTGAGCAGAGCTGATCTATGTAGTTAACAGAATGTTGCGGAAATGATGGTATGAGACTTCTAAGGCTAGGAAATAGAAGACATTGGGATATTCGTTTTGAGCTTTTATCACTTTGGAGCATATAAGCAACCATGTAGTAAGAAAAAATTTAAAGCCCTGAAGAGAGGTCCATGAGGCAACAAACGGAGTTCTGCCAACAGCCAGCCATGTGAGTGTACCATCTTGGAAAAAGATCCTCCAGTTCCAGTCATGCCTTCAGATGTCTGCAGCCTCAGCCAGTATGCTGACTGCTACTTCATGAGAAATCCTCAGCCAGAAGTAACCAGTTGAACTGCTCCCAAATTCAAACCCACAGAAATTGTGTGAGATGATGTTTATTGTTTTGATCTGCTAAATTTAGGGATAATTATACAGAGATAACTAATATCTCTCCTCACTCAAGCTCAGTTTCCTATTTTCACCATTAATATAAAGAGAAACAATTCATTTAAAAAATTTCCCCTCCAACTCCTTTCTCCTTTTTCATCAGATCCCATAAGAAAGACAAAACAAATGGCAGGTTTGTAAAACAGCATTTAAAAAGAATAAAATAATATCCATTTTGTTTTTTAGGGGAAAATAACTTTTTTTTAAATTAAATAGAGGACAGGATTTCCTAAAAGGGATGAGAAGGTAAGATAGAAGAGTTGAAACAGAGGGCGAAAAACTGCCCTTAAGAACAGAAATGGAAAGAAGGAAAACAAATTCAGAAGTTAAATCCTGGATGGTTTATTCCACTTGCTACCACCTTGTTTTAGCAGATTCTACTGAGGTCCAGACCAAAGAAAAAGGTACAATAATGAGAGTATGGAGACGAAGAAAATATACAATATGATATCCCAGAAGGCAGCTAAGTTTGTATTAATAAGAAAAGGAAGAAAAAAAAAAAAAAAACAAAGTGGCAGCACTTAGTACCAAGATAATTTTAAATAGGAATATGATGGTGCATTGTAAAAATATCAGCCTTATCTTTTTTATATTATTCAGAGAAGATTTCTCATTTTTTTTCTCTTTTAAAAAAATCCCATCATAAAACATATGGAGAATATCAAATATTCTCCACATGTTTTGCAGAGATATGGAGAGACTTGTCACCACAATGCTTCCTAAGGGTGGTTAGTGGGCATGGTTTTCCCCTTCTAACAGCCAAAGATGATTTTTCTAACTTAAAAATGTTGAATTCACTTGAGATTTAAAAACATATATATCTATATATATATGTAATTCCCCTTTGCCTTCCATTTCCTTTTCAATGTCCTCTTTTTTGGTTTCCCTTCACTTTTACTATAACCCAGGCTAGCCAAAAGAAAAACTGAGGTAACAGTGTCACAATGAACATTTTGTCTAACGCGTTTAAAAAACCTTTTGAAAAAAAAAAGACTGGAAGAAACAACAATGAAAAACTTTTATTATCCACTGGTAACAGTTAATAATCTTGACTTTATCTTATACTAGAGTTTCCAAGAGTTTTCTTTCTTGAGAAGTCAAGGATATAAACAGGAAATTTCTTAATCATAAGCTGCTGGCTTCTATTCTAAACGGTGGATCTAAGACAAACCATTGAAACTGCCAGCGTAACAGTGAAAAAGAACAAGAGCCTAGACAAAGATACTAAAAAAAACTAAGCTGAATTTTGGTTAGAAGCAAAAAAATGAAACCCAAACCAACATCCCCCAAAACTTGACATATAACTTTAAGTTTATATGAGGAATTACTATTAGCACACATAATCAACAATCACTAATATCTGCTCAACTTCTCAAGCTCCTTAAAATTAAGGAATTGAAAAGACAAGGAATTCTTTTTACAAGCAAAATCCATAAACAGAACAAAATAGTTAGATATGTGGTCAGTATTATCAACTTAGCCCCACATCATCACCTCCCTGTCAATATGGAAGTTTATAGAGTTTTTAGGCCAAATCTTGTAAGAAAATTCTAATTTGGCTTCATCGGATTAAAAATGGAGAAAGTTTACAAAGTAATCCATGATTTTGATTCCATGAGAGACTTAGAGCCAGAATCAAACAGTTAAGTTGCTCCTGAAATTCTGACTCACAGAAACTGTGTAAGGTAATAAATATTTATTGCTGTTTTAAGCTGCTAAGTTTTGAGATAATTTTTATGCAGCAATAGATAAATAGTATCTGTCATGACTCAAATTGACAATTTGGTAGATTTCCACCATTGATATAAATGACAATGAGTTATATTGCATAAAGAAATATATAATAATTACTTTTTATCATTTTATAAACAGTAACATACAGCCAAAAACAACTATGTTAAATGAATTTCTTTAAATACGATAATTAGTGAAGACTGCTACTGTAGGATAAGTGGGCTGATTCTTTTTCCTAATTTGTCTCAACTTCTCTGAAGAGCTATTTTTCACCTCAGAGAAGCTACTATAAAATATTCCCCTTTCAAACCCTATGACAGTAGAAGAAAAAATGAGAAAGGATGTTAACTAGGGATAATTCTAGGCTGGAATCACTGCAAATTGTGAATACAAGTATCCCAAGAAATATTTTTAGTATTTTTTTACTTGAAAGAATTCTAGAAAACTGACTAGTGTATACCTTTAGATCCATTCTTCATTCTCCAGTGAACTGAACTATGTCTCTAAATAGTAAATTTTCCTTAAATTGTAAGTCAATGAAGGTGAGTTCACATTAAGCAACAAAAGAAAAAGTATGAAATTTCATAAAAACAAATATTGTCAGTAATAAATGTATTACAGAATTTTGTAGTATATACAGGTGCTATGTAAGGTTCACTTTCATATAAAAACTAGTAAGATAAGCAAATTGGCATATAATATAAACATACATCTTTTTAAAAAAGTCACCTACCCTTAAGAGGATCATGTTCTGCTCTCATAATATCTATAAGCGAATTTTCCAAAGAGTGCATATTCAAACTGTCATACATTCTATTTCGATCCTGAAAGAGAAGAGAAAAAAAGACATCATAATCTATGCACTTTTTCCAAAAAGTGATTATAAAAATACTAAGTTCTCCTACATAAAAATAGGACATCTGATGAACATATTACTAATTAATCAGTATCCCACAAAATATCAATAACTAAAGATCTCATGAGCTACAATGTTTCTTGCATTGGAGGACATTATTTTCAGTACATTTATCTCTTAAATCTTTTATCAAAAATAATCTAATTTTACTGGCAATACTAATGCAATACAGTAAAGTAATTTCTATGGTAATCTTTCTCTATGAAGTTTCCTAAAATATTATACACACAGAAAGCATTTTTTGGTTAATTTATAAACTTTTCCCACATATTTAGGAAGACAGACACTGGCATGTGGAAAATAAATATTTGGGAGAAAACATTTTAGTTCCATAATTGCACCATACTTTAAACATCTATCAAACATTTTGTTATCTGACATAGTCTGAATTTCAACATGAGTGCATAAACATCTTATATGGTAAAAATCAAAAGCATAAGACACTAATACCAGAACAAAGACTAATACCTAGAATATTCATATTCATATCTTACTCTCTTAAAGTGCTTCCATATTTGTCTCTGCATTTTAACCCTCACCAACTCCCCTGAAAAATTGGCAGATGGAGGAGGGAAGAGTAAAACCACAGTAATCCCATTAAGTTGCTACTTCACCAAGTCTCCAAAGTCTTGTGTTGTCAGATCCTTGTTTGCTGAATGTTCAATCCCTCCACTTGCTTATCTGAAAGAATCTGACTCTTTAATGTCCCATGAATTTTTACTGTATTCTGTTCAACACATACTCAATGTACCTGGAAAAAGATAAGTAAGGAACTACTAGAGGAAGCTCTGGCCCATGCCCTCCAAATAATCTAGGAGTCTCCCCAAAATACCCACACAGTTAAGTATGTTGTGTACATGCATGTGCAACCTTATGTATATGTGGGGGAGGCAGGATATACCATTCTAAACTCTCAAAAAATGACTGCCACAGAAAATGGAAAGGGAAGAATCTGAAAATTAAGTGGAAATAAAAGTCCCAATAGAAATCAAAATAAGGTACTTATTAACCTGGGTCCATGAGCTTCAATAGGGACCAGAGGTCTCTGAGATTATACATAATATACTGTACATGGGTGTACAGTAGTCCCCCTTTTCAGCATTTTGCTTTCCATGATTTCAGTTATCTGTGGGATAGTACAATATGATATTCTGAGAGAGAGAGATATGCCACATTTACATAACTTTTACTACATTACATTTTATAATTGTCCTATTTTATTAGTTATTGTGTTAATCACTTTCTGTGCATAATTTATGATTTAAACTTTGTCATATAATGTTTGCATCAGAAAAAAACAGCATATAAAGGCATTGTTTGCAGTTTCAGGCATCCACTGATTGTCTTAGAATGTATCCCTCATGGATAAGGGGGGACTAGTGTATACGTAATTTTGTTTTTTTCCTGAAGAAAAGATTTATAGCTTTCATCAGTTTTCCACTGAAGTCCACAATTCAGAGAAGACTTAGAATCAGTTCTTCAGAAAGCTGAAAAAAAACCTAAGGAGCTTTCCTAAAAATATGTTCATTCATTTACTCTATTTTGATGCTTAAATTAGGGTTGTAGCCTTTTTTGAGCTAGGGGTTCAGAATCAGTACTGTAGACTAAGTAAGTTGCTGTCAAGGAGTTTAAAAGGGTAAAAAGTAACACTGAATGATGGAAAGAATGCTAGACTGGAGGCTCTTATTCCAGCTTTACCACCAATTAACTCTATCAGTACTTTTTATTGATTTTTACTGAAAGGCCCCTGAGGTAAAACACATACATCAATAACAGCTGCTCACTAGAACAGTGACCTTGATTAGTGACGGAGTCACAAAGAATTAATGAACTCTAACAGTGGTTTCTAAACGTGAGCATGCTTCAGAATCATCTGGAAGGCTGGTTAAACACATCAAATGAAACTCATCAAATTCAGTAGGTCTGGAGTGGCACCTGAGAATCCGTATTTCTAACAGGTTCCCAGGTGACACTGATTCTGCTAGCCTGGATATCACACTTTTTAAGAAACAATTAGTTTCTTCCTCTGAAGTCATTAAATCTCTCTGGGCTGTGGTTCCAACTTCTAAAAATAATCATGTCAGGCTAGATGATGCCTAAAGTCTCGTTAAAAATTATAGAAAAAAACAGACTCAAAATACTGTAAAATAAATAAAATATTAATAAAGCTGAAACAGAGAAGAGGATGGCATACAGGCAAAAATGACATACTTATTTTAGGAATCTATCCAAATATTTCCATTTTCTCTGTGCTTCCACTATACTGTGTTCATAACTAATTTGTTGATTTTCCTGTCTCTCCCACTAAACTTCTAAGTTGATTAAGGATAGGGACTATCTAATTACAGAATACAGCTAGTTCTCAAATGTCTGTTGAATGAATACTCCTTTATCTCCACCATAAAAACTTTATAAAAATGTAAAAAAAAAAAATTGAGTTCTGTGAGGAGAAAGACTGCACTTTTAAACAGTAATTGTAAAGGTCTATAAAGCTTTCTCAGAATCCTCAAGGGAATAGGTAGTCAAATGTTAACTGACTAAACTGAGACAAGCATCAGATTAATGTGGCTTGCTATGAACCTGAATTTCCAATCACCCAATGGAAGATTAAGTACTATTATACTGAAAGTTCCCAGATGTATTTAAAATAGAATTATAAAATCTTTAAGCTGTAATGATAAAAATTAATGTTGATATAACAAAGCAAAAAATTCCTCTGAAGATATGCCATGTCATGAAAGTTCTAAGAGTATATTGTAAATACTTTAAAATACTTTATTATCCTACTTACCCTAAATCCCCACAAAGGGAATATATTTACAGTTCATAGTTATATTTTTAGGTTGATGATTCTGAACAGAATCAGCCTATGTCCAGTCAACCAATGACCTTAATTAATGGTAACTATTAAATCACCCGAACAATATTTCCCAAGTAACTTCCTTTTTCTAGAAGAGCTGGAGGAAAGTACCCTTGAGGTGTGAGCTTGCTCTGGAGCATAGCAGAACTATTGCATGGGTCATGGACAATATTTAAAGTATAAAAGAGAAAATCCTTTAGCTATAAATATCAGTGACCACTATATAATCAATTCTGAGAGGTGTTATTCAAAAAGGCTGCATGTATTAATAACTTCATCCTGAAAATCTATATCTAACTGAATCAGTGAGACGCCTACTTATAAGGTCTCTTATTTTCCCTTTTCTGTTAAGTATTTGATCCTAAACTCCTACTCTAGGAAAGAAAACAGCACAGCTATTTTAAAACAACTAGCTTGGTTATGCTTTGTAAAGCATCAGCTGAATCCCATGTGATTTTTAAAGCAACAAACATAAAATAGCCTTGGGCAACCAAAAAGCACATGACATCTCAAAACTGCTTTTTAAATTTAATGAAACCTATAGACTTACATGCAAAAGATATAGATAATTATATTAAATAAATTGTGGGAATTAAAATATGACTTCTGAAAAAATAGAAACAAACCTGGTTATAAAACAAAAGCTCATGCATTCTTCTGAAATAAAGATATTAGGAAAAATTGTGTTCATACAAACTGCCATCAGTTTAAAAACTAAATAGAAGAACTAAGGCAATTTTCCAGTGACCATGAACACACCAGAACTAATTATCATTAATAAATATGGAAAATCATAGCAATGTAATTTACATTTATTACAAGGTTATTTGAAAACACCAAAATATTTCACAAAAATAAGACAATGAGGAAAGGTGTGCATGAAATCTATTCTAAAATATAAAAACAAATTGGCAAAGAATCAACTAAATGGGCTTTCAGAAACTGAGATTATAGAATCTCACAATAACTGACAGAATAAAATAAGAAATCATTTTTGAAAAAGGTATAATCTCTTTTATTGTAATATTTATTTCATGGTTTTTCTTAAACCCAGACATTTGCCACAAACACTATGTGAGTGTCAGTAAAAGCTTACAAAGGTTGAAAAACACAGGAAAAAAAACAAAGTAATCTTAATCTTGAAAAAAGATGACCTAAAAAAAGATGATAAACACTGAAAAATAACTAAGGAGATCAATGCAGAATATTAGAAATAGTATGACAAAGGGAACTCAAACTTCATTACAAGAACTTTCTGAAGAGATATTAAATTTTTTGCTGGGATATATTAAAAACTCTGTTTTATTTCCAAAGAAATGGTCAATCAGAAACTTTTCCTCTTGAAAATGAGGTACTCTTCCAAAGAAAAATAAGACTACAGAAAACCCCTATATTCTTATATTTAATGATATAGCAGATGCCTGAACATGTATTATTCTGCTTAACTAGGAAGATCAGCTTTTATTGTACTTGTAATGTTTGTGTTTAGTTCTCTAATTTTTACTTTAAAATAAAGCAATGTAGTGCTAATATTGTCTTTAATTTTAAGTAAATATTGATCATACATTCCTGTTACACAATGTTATTTCCCCATACTCAACTAGCAGCAGATGACGTGCTACTCTGCTTTACTGTATAACGTAGTACTCAATCTCATAAGCTCTCTTCTCTTTCTCTAGTTGTTCCACATAGATAATCCTTATTCATCCAACTCAACTCTTACCTTCTCTAAGACAAATAATTTTTTTATCCATATATCTCAAGGGTAATTAAAACACGTACAGAACGAATTAAGATATATTTCTTGAATTTTCTCTATTAATTTTGAACCTCAACACAGGGTGTTAGTCATAGGAGAAAAAAAAATCAAATGTTTTAAAAGGCCAAAGCTATTTTGGTACTCACAAGAATTAAAGAAAACAGAAAGTCAAGAACAATTAAAGAACTGAACACAGAGTAGGAAACCAAAAGAAAGCATCCATTACTTAAGTTGTATACAAGAGTCCATTCTTTTTCATTTTCAATGGCCATGTAACAGTTTGATGACTTTGAATATCCCTGAAATTCATCTGGTTTTTGAACCACTATTTAAGAAATGCTTTATCAGATAAACAAATTGGACTTGGTATGCATCTATATACTGTTTTTTGTGTGTGTGTGTGTGTGTGTGTGTGTGTAAGGTGAGTAAAGACTCAAATAATATTTTTCTGAGACAGATCTCTAAATTACCATTTACCACATTATCACAATAGCCTATTAAAGATTAGTGAAAACTATCTTTAATTAATTCAAGGTAGTTTATTATGTGACATGCTCAAGCACTGCAAGTAGAACTAGAGTTGATATACTGATAATTCCCCAGTTGAAAGGCAGGCTGATATGCATATATATACTTCACGAACTCAATTATAGTTGCAAGACACTACGTTGTTTACAGTGAGCTAATATGTCATATGTAAACTTGTTAGTAATAATAACCTCAGTTAAAGGACATTTACTCTTTATGTTTTGAATAAATATACTGTAACCTTAACATCAAACTGAAAACTCCTATTTTTTTGGGAGGAGGGAGTGGTGTCTTGTTACGTTACCCAGATGGACTCAACTCCTGGGCTCAGGCAATCTTCCTGCCTCAGTCTCCCAAATAGTGTACGTTGCTGGATCTGGCTGAAGATTCCATTTTAATATAATTTAGAACTCACACTTTTGAGTATGATTCTTGCAAGCGTAACTAGTTAATGACATTTTAAAGTAGAATAATTAATAGCCCTAAAGAAATTCATGGAGATATGTTAGGCCACAGTAGTAGCTCAAGCCTGTATTCCCAGCACACTGGAGGCCATGTCAGGTGGATCATGTGAGGACAGGAGTTCTGAAACCAGCCTGGCCAACATGGTGAAACCCTGTCTCTACTACTAAAACAAAAATTATCCAGGCGTGGTGGTGTATGCCTGTAATCACAGCTACTGGGGAGGCTGAGGCACAAGAATCGCTTCAACCCACAAAGTGGAGGTTGCTGTGAGCAAAGATAATGCCACTGCACTCCAGACTGAGCAAGAGTGAAAGAAAGGAAAGGAAAGGAAAAGGAAAAGGGAGAGAAAGGAAATAAGAGAGAGAGAGAGAGAGAGAGAGAGAGAGAGAGAGAGAGAGAGAAAGAGAGAGAGAGAGAAAGAGAAAGGGAAGGAAAGAAAGAGAAATCCATACAGATCTACTCATTTTAAAGTCAGAAATGTTTATAATTTACATTTCTTTTAAAAAGTTTTAAATTTGAGGGTTTTCTATTTTTTAAAAAAAGCTAATTTAAAATAAAATTCCAACCCACAAAATTTTACATATAACAAAAATAAAAATCAACCTACAAAACTAGTTCTTTCCTATTCATTGAATTCAATTACATGTTCAGCTCTTGATATAGGTTAACCCGCAGTATCCAACTATAAGAATTAAGACTTCAGTTTCGGCCGGGCGCGGTGGCTCAAGCCTGTAATCCCAGCACTTTGGGAGGCCGAGGCGGGTGGATCACGAGGTCGAGAGATCGAGACCATCCTGGTCAACATGGTGAAACCCCGTCTCTACTAAAAATACAAAAAATTAGCTGGGCATGGTGGCACATGCCTGTAATCCCAGCTACTCAGGAGGCTGAGGCAGGAGAATTGCTTGAACCCAGGAGGCAGAGGTTGCGGTGAGCCGAGATCGCGCCATTGCACTCCAGCCTGGGTAACAAGAGCGAAACTCCGTCTCAAAAAAAAAAAAAGACTTCAGTTTCATAATTTTGTATTATATTCTAGGCCCTAATCAGTTTGAGACTAAAGGAAATAAAAAGTTAAACGTTTTAAAATAATGTGCTTGTTAACAAAAATGTACTAGAATTACATTGCATATGATGACAAAAGGTCAAAAAATAATCTCCTCAAGTATTTAAGTGACTAAGTATCTTCTATAATTTAATTTTGACAAAGAATGAGAAACTACCCAACATTTTAAGATATCAATTTCATTTTGTAGCTACTGCTATATTTTTAAAAGCATCAACTTCAAATACCTCAACCTTTATAGAAAGACAGAAACACAGAACAACTTATGTATAAATACCGTTAGGGTACTTAGAGGAGACAGTGACATTGCTTTCAAGTCCAGCTGAAATGTCACATACTACCTCCACTGCCTTAGACTAATGCCTTAGACCCTTTGCTTAAAGAAACCAAGAGGCTGGTATTCTAAAAATAGAGGCTAGGGGGTGGGGGAGCAGGGAGGAAAAGAAATGGCCAAAAGAGATCAGAGAAAGTATAAAAGCTGGCTGAAAGGCCTTAAAGGACCTAGTTCAAGGTCCTCCTTTGACAGATAAGGAAACTATAACCCAAAGAGATGAAAGCTCATAAACTATGTTATTCAATGTCAAAAAGACTATGAGGAAGAGGAAGAAGATCTAAGTTTCAGGTCTTCTTTCCTTCCAGTTCCATTTACTTCCTATTATCTTCCCCCACCCCCTCACCCCACCCCACCATCACTGTCTTCTACTTCATCACATCACACCTCTGGCTCAAGAGTCCAAAGGGAATGCCAATATCTCAGCAGTTTACCAGTGTTTATCTTTAAGCACCAAAATTCTTCACCCTAAAATAAATTTCCCTAAAATCTTAGGTTATGAAACAGGTAAAAGCAGGGTAGCTTTGACCAAAGTCTAAGTGGGAGGGCAGCCCCAATGGTGGCAGCCCCAGAGGCTGGTTTAAAAGCTTCCCTTTCATTATCACCCCTGTCTCCTCTCAAGCATTCCACCAATTGAAATCAACTCAATAACCTGGTTTCTCAACATCTGCCCCTGCCTCATGGACCTTTATGCCAGCTTATTTGTATTATTTTCCATAGATACTTATTTCTCCTATATGTGTATCCATCCTATCACTTCTTCCTGCACGAACAGAATAATTATGTCCTTTTCTATATGAAAATATTTCTCCTGCCAATTTCAAAATAATTATATTAATTTTCTTCTCCTAAACATACCACCTCCTAGGCATTCATGTATTGAATTTGAACAATACAAAAATGCTATCATAAAAATGTCACTAATAAGGCTTAACTAGACTATAGAAGAGAAGAGAGTAGAAGTAAATAGTTATATTAACAAGACAGTACATTGCAAATTACATGCAGTAACTACCATTTCTAAGTGAAGACACTAGCAGGACTACCTTGGAAAATAGGCAGGACTTGGCTAAAACAATTGCTAGTGGTTGATTATCAAAATTAGTGCTAATCTTCTAGATTAGAATGCTACTTACAAATGTATTATTAATCTGTTAATATCCTTACTTGTAAAATCATCTCATGCTGATAAATTAACCAAGGAAGAGACTCAGAATAATATAGCCCCATTCCTGTAACACACATAATGTTATGTCTATACTCATTCAAACTTGAGCTCTGTAAGAAAGAACCTTCATATATAAGGACTGAGTTTTCTATACCCTGTAGTAATCCTTACCACCTGGTACCTAGTATACATTCAGTTTGCAGAAAGAGAGTATTTTGTGACCAACAAAGGTGTGAATGTAATTTGACTAAGACTAACTCCCAGTTTTTTGACTAAAACTTTCTCCCTAGGAAACCTGATTATTTGGAAAAAGTCTGGGTATAAAAGCAGTAACAAAATTAAGAACACTAGGCTATATGTTTTTTTAATAAAGGTGAAAAACTGAACCAAGACAAATCTTTTTTAGAAATATATCTCAAAACAAATGTAGAATTCATGACAAAAATTTACTGAAAACTTCTATGAAACACTGATTAAATATAAAGCTGGATGTTAAGTAAACATGATTTTGTACCTAATTGCATATAATTTTGAAAAGAAATACAATCTGTTTAGTTTGACTGATGTTTAAAGTCAGGTGCTCTTGTGTAAATAATCCCTTTTTCCAACAAAAAAAAATTATGTTTTAGAAATATAGAAGGATTATTCATTGCTCTTAAATTTGAAAATAAAAAACTCTTATATTAAATAGTTCAAATCTGGTGATCCTTAAAAAATAAATTGCTTCAGTGTCCTCTAACATATGCTACCATAAGTATAATAAGAAAGTAAATAACAAATCCTACTCATAATATAAATACTAAACTCCTAACCAAAATCCTAAAAAGTATACACTGTGCAGCCTACCTGGTCTATTCTGGATGTTCCGGCTGCAGTGCACCAACTATCTTGGAGTGAATCTGAGCCCCAAGCTGGCAACTGCAAACTAGATCTCACCTTCAATAGCATAGAAGTTTTCATCAGAAATGAGCAGTTGTCTTCCCCAAACCCACCCAAAGAAAGAAAGAAAATAAAAAATAAAGCTCTATCATAAATCCTCATTCCATTCATTAACAGTTTAAGAAAAACAAAACCAAACAAAAACCTCACTTGCAATAGCCATAAGGAAACTTCGACAAAATAATAAAAAGCCTGAAAAAAAAAAAAAAGGTCTAATCATCATAACTATTAGGCCACATTTAGGAAGCATAATATGTGAATTAGTGAAAATAAATTTAAATTAGATATGAAAAGCCCTAATATTATTTTCCCACAATCATAGCTATACTAAGTATATCCTAATATCCTAATATATATACAGCTGATCATAGTCAAATCCAAGAATAGTTACAATTACAGAACATTTTAGCTTATCTATGTTATAGGAGAAACAAATTTTGGTGGCCCATTAGAGTTTATAAAGTAAAGCATTCTTAAAGAGCTGTCAATTGAAAGCTTCAACATGTATTTAATAAACACAACAAGGTTTTCTATGTTTTACTAAGCTTATTTTCCATTTAGTGTTAGAGAATTTTTTTACACTCTCAATTTTCTCTGTATAGATATCTCAACCTTTGTTAATTAAATTACATGCTTAAAAATTAGAACTTTATTTGAAAGAATGTTAATTTTACCACACTACTATCACCACCACCCAACTACCTATTTTGAAAGCTTAACATGAGAGATAAGGTTATTTACATACCATTCTTACCTGTAAGGGTAAGAGTGTATTACTATTGTTGTCTGTTCTGAAAACATTATCTTCAATCCAAGATTTTGGAGTCAGTGATGGAGTTGAGCGAGTAAATTTCGGTGGTGCAATGACATTACCAGAAAACGGTTTCTTCAATGGAGATATCTGATTCATAGTTCCTGGAATTCCCATGTTTCCGGTTCTACGGTGATCTCTACCATGCATTGCTCCCCAGGACATACTTCCAGTGCCCCAGCCACTGCTCTGATGGTTGCTCCAGGGAGATTGTTTCAGAAGAGGCTGGGGAAAACGTATCTATTTAAATTATGGCATTTTAAGAGTTTACAATTCAAATTCAAATTTCAGACCTAAGAATTTATATAATGAAATATATAATGACAAAAGAATACCTCTTTTCTAGCTTATATAAGTTAATAGTCTTGAGATCTTTTTACGTGAAATCATATTTGATGCTGGTAAAGTTTTCATCTTCTTGTCTACTATAAATATCATATTTTATGACAGTTATGAAAACAGAACCATCACTTTTTTCCTTCAAAAATAACTGTATACGTGATAAATATGAAGAAAAAATAAATTGAGATTAACTTTGAAGATTCTTAAAGATATAATCTACACAGTGATCTAAAAGCAACCCTATTATGCTAGGCACACAACTAAAAATATGGTCTTTGTTAATTAAAATATCCTACTCATCCAACTGAAATATTTAGACTTCATGTTTCCAAAACAAGTTGCACTACCACAAAGTGGTAATTTACTCAATTGCACAAATTAAAAACGCCTTTTAGAATAAGAACAGCATAGAAACTATGTCATTTTTCTACATTGTTTATTTAACTGTTAGGGCATTTTATTCCAGTTTTAGTACAGTTTGTTTTAAAGTGTTTTTGTTTTTATTTCACTTAATTATCCATGAACTGTGAAGCAATTATCTGATGTTGCCCATAGGTGGATCCACTGAGGTATACTGCCAACTAACTGTATGCTTTGATTATTCCAGTAGAGATCCTGATACAAGTCTCCATCAAGTTGATTTGTTTTCAAAAGTAAATTACATCCTAATCTAAAACCTGGGGCAAGAAAAGTTAACTCATTAAAGAATGGAAATCCCACCGAAAGGTTGTAATTGTAATTTGGGGTTTTTGGTTTTTTTTTTTTTTTTAAAGAAGTGCTCATTGCTGGTAATTCTACTGTCAATAAGTTTATACTTTAAAATTTGGTGTTAAGACGTATCGAAAGAAGTATGAGCCATACAGTTACCAAAAACAAATATGGTTCTCTTAAAATTGAACCTTTTATAAGACAATTAAAAAAGAAAATCCTGATCTATAGCACCAATGTTTAAAAACTTTCAAATGCTAACATAATCATGAGTATATATATTACTCCTTCCCCCTCCACAGAGTCCCAAAGCATAAGTAGGGAGCCATGGACAAATCACTTCATTCTTGAGGGCCTTACTTTCCTTATTAAATAAGTTAATGCTCAGTTATCTTCCAGTGATCTAAAATTCTATATGAAAGCTGTGTGACCTGTCACACTCCATGGCTAGACATATTTTTTGTCCTAAAAGGAGATTACAGTTAAATATGGATCATGGTATATGTTATTCCAGTGCTTTGTATCACAACTTTTAAGAATACAAAATTACCTATAGATAATTTTCTGTGGACAAGTTTCCAGTTAACAAAACGAAGACCCTGAGACACAAAAGACAGTTGCTGAGGATTATAAAAATCACGTAAAAGTGGAAAGTTATTTCAAAACCCCTATCTTCAAACCTTACAGGCCACATTCTCTTTTGTAAGAAAGAAATTAGCGATTCGACAAAAACTAACTGTCACTTCGGGTTATTTAGATAAACTGTTAACTTTGACTTAGGTTACTTCATATAGTATTCACTCTGAAAAGGGTAATCCTTGAAAACTCTGGTCTACTGAAAAAGTTATGGGGTTAAGGTCAAATTTTGCTTCTCTCTCAATTCTTAAATCACGAAAATGGAAAATGGCCTTAAACAGAATGAACACTGCAACAAATGCTAACAAGATTAAAAACTAACAAGACATTCTTTCAACGTCAACTCACCAAGCCACCGGTCACCCAAAAATTGTATTGAGGGAATAACAAAAATAAAAATCTTAAATCAGAAAAAATCCAGATAAATACTCTGCCCAGTGTTATTTCATAATATTACCTACTTAAAATACACACGGCCCACATATTCCCTTGTAGAAGGTTAAGGCCACCGAAGAAAGCACCGAAAGTCTAGGAGATACACTAATCCCAGTTCCACGTTTAGTTTTGTCCTAAAACCCACAAAACATGACCCCAACATTGAAAAGCACACTAACTAGGACAATCATGGGGTATCTTGCTTTGAACCGGAGCCGTCACCAACAGTTTCTCTGTCCCAGTCCTGTGACAACCGAGGACGCGGCCCCGCGGGAACCAGGTCCGGCGAAGAACGCTGCCGGCCGCTCCCTCCCGACTCGCTGGCGGCCCAGGGTGCGGCGCTGCCGGCAGGTTGACCGTGGGCGGAGCTTCGGGAGCGGCACGAGGGACCCCCGGGCGGGATGTGGCTTCAGGGCGAGATCCCGCCGGCCAATTAAGAATAAAACAAACTCCAAAGAAAAAAATGCCTTTCCGCTTTCCCTCATTGGACGGCGGGGCAGAATCACGGGCTCCCCCGCACGCACCTTCTCCGGCAATTGTATTTCTCCTGCCCAAGTTCACTTCCCACGGCCGCTCTTCCGAGGCCCCCGGCCCGCCCCGGGTCCTCGCTGCGCCTCCCCGAGTCGGCGGTCCCGGACGGCGGCCCTCCAGGCCCGGGGCACACGGCGGAGCCCTGGGTGCGCCCGCTAGGAGGGCCGGGGAAAGTCGCCGCGTCCGGCCGCCCGGCGCCCCGGCGCTATTCAGCCCCTGCCCCAGCCCCGGCCCCTACCGCCGCGCCGGGACGTTCGAGGGGGCGCCGGGCCAGCGGCGGCTCCCAGAGCGACCTGGTCTCCCAGTCCCCGTGGCCCACGGTGGCCACTGCCCTGCTGCGCTGCCGGAGGCTGGGGTTCCGCGTCCTGTCACGGTGGCCAGCCCTCCCGGTCCCACTCCTACTTGGCCGAGTGGCTCCCGTCGCGGCTTCTCTCCGAGCTCAGGCCGGGTCCCTGACCTCCCCGCCGCCGCCTTCGTCCCCCACCCGCGGTCTCCGGGCCCAGTGGCGCGGCCAGGCTGCCGCCCGCCGTACCTGGTGGTGGTTGTAGGAGTTCCTCTGTTGCAGGAAGGCGGCAGCCGCCGCCTGGTGCTGCTGCTGGAGCTGCGGGCTGACGGGCGACCTCCGGCTCTGCGGCTGCTGCGGCGCCGTAGGCGGCGGGGGCTGCTGTTGAGGTAAATTCATGGCGGGCGGCGGCGGCGGGGGCACGGCGGTCGCCGAGAAGGGGCCGCCGAAGCCGCCGCCGCCGCCGCCGCCGCCGCCGCCGCTCGCCTGCACGCTGAGCCCCGCGCAGCCATGCGGCGACACCGGCGAGAAGCTCGGGAAGAAGGCCGGGTTCATGGACGACGGCAGCCCGGGGTAGAAGCCGTTCTCAGAGTCGGGGCTGGGCGGCGGCATGGCGCTGAGCGAGCCGCCGCCGCCGCCGCCGTTCGGGGTGGTGGCCGACGAGCCGGGCGGCTGCGGCTGCGGCGGCTGCTGGGGTGGTGGCGGCTGCTGCGGCGGCTGGGGCGCCGGCGGCTGCTGGGGCTGGGGTGGCGGCGACGCGGTCTGCACCGACCAGGGGGTGCCGAAGCCGGGCAGCGGCGGCGGCGGCGACGCGGAGCCGCCTCCCCCTCCGCCTCCTGGGGGCCCCCCGCCCCCGCCGCCGCTGCCGCCGCCGCCGCCGCCCGGGTGTGGATGGTCCGGGCTCTGCAGACTGCTAAAGGGGCCCGCGCCGAGCGCCCCGCCGGGCAAGAGGTTACTGGGACTGTTGAGCAGAGGGTGGTTGGGGGACTCCATGGAGCCCGGTGCGGGGTTCACCGGCGGCGTCGAGGGGGCCAAGCCCGCATTGGGGGACTCGGCGGCGCTGCCCTCGCCCGCAGCCGGGGTCTTGCGAGGGCTGCCCGCGCCTCCGTGGCGGCGCCGCGGGGCTGCGGGCGACGAGGGCGGTAGCTGTGGGAGCGAGGGCAGGTCGGCTGGACGCTGCCGCTGGGCGAAGTCCTGCGACGGGAGGTGCTGCGGGTGCGGGAGGCTGAACTGCTGCGGCTGCTGTTGCTGCTGGCGCTGGGCGAGCTGCGCGGGCTGGAGGAGATGGCCGGCCGGCGGCGGCGGCAGCGGCGGGCTGAACCGGCCCGGGCAGTAGAGCGGCGGAGGCGGCGGCAGCTTCGAGTCCGGAGGGTGGGGAAGGTGGGGAGGGCTGAACTCTTTCCTCTTCTGGCTGCTCAGCTGCTGCTGCTGCCGCTTACTGAAGTCCTGCGGGGAGGAGGTGCGGCAGCAGCAGCAGGAGGAGGCGGAGGAGGAGGAGGGGTGGTACAGACTCGGTTTGAAGTCCTGGGAGGGGAGGAGGTGGGTCACACCCGCGATCGTGCCACCGCCGGGGTGGTGGTTGGGGAGTTTCTCCGCGGCCGCCGCCCCCGAAAGCAGCCGCGCCGGCTGCTGTGTCAGCCCCAGCAGCAGCTCATCCTGCATGGTCTGCTGATGCGCCAGGAACGGGGAGGAAGAGGAAGCGGAGGTGGCCCGGCTGCCCGCGCCACCGCCGAGGGGGATGGAGAAGGGGGAGGCGGCCTCTAAGAAGCCGGTGACAGGCAACGGTGGCGGCGACAGCGGGCCGAAGGGCGTGGCAGAGGGCAGTGACTTGGCGGACCCCGCGGCGTAGGGACGGTACGCCTCGCCGCGGAACAAGGGCCCGGGGCTGCTGCTTCGGAGCGGGGCGGTCTGCAGCACCCCAAACCCGAAATCCCTCATTTATCAGGCTGGCGGCAGCGGGAGGAGACGGGCTTCCTCCCCTGCCCCACCTAGGAAGCCGCCGGCTCTTGGGCTGCGTGGCCGTGGTGGAAGGAGAGGGATTCAGTGAGAGAGAGACACTGTGACTGAGCCAGTGGACCCCGACTTCGGGCCCACCACCCCTCGCGGCGATCACCGCCGCCGCCTCCCGAGACCGGCTCGGGCGCTGCCGCCACCGCCGCCGCCACCGCCCTGGCGGCTTAAGAACCCCGGAACGTGCGTCAGCGCCACCTCACAATCGCGCCGCCCCCCGTGGTGCGTCCTGGCACGCGCGGGCGTGAGGCCACCGCGCCCCTGTTGCCCCGCCCCGCCCCTCATTAATATGCAGACGCAGCCGGGGGCGCGCTCGCGCTCCCTGGAGGACGGGAGCGAGCGGCACGTCTCCTTGGGTCTCTCTGTGTCGGGGGGAATGGAAAGGCCAGTTGTGGCGGGGGCTGACTGGAGCACTGGGCGGGCGCGCGCCGGAGAAAGGGACGGTTCCTGGGCAACGGCCCCTCCCTGGCGCGGGATCCGCGCAGAGCCTGCCCGGGTCGCACGCGTCTCCGCCCCTCGCGGTGCCGCCTCCTTCCTGTCACCTCCGTTCTGCCCATAGTCGCAGAAGCCCAGCCTCGCCACTCGAGGTTCCCTGGGCTGGGAAACTGAGGCCTGGGACCCGGCCAGGCGCCTGCAGTGTGTGAACTCGCATAGAAATAGGCTCCCGAGACCCCCAGCGCAACGCGGGAGCACGGCCCAGCCCAGTGTCAGGAGGGGTCCTGTGGCTAACTCCCGTCTGGGCTCTGCTTGCTTGAAGTCCACGGAGCGCGTTAGAGTCCCCAACTTAGGGCCTCCTCGTCGCCCTAAGAAGCGCCCTCTAGGTTTGTTTCTGTGTTTAGGCGCTGGAGGGGGTGCTGTCACCGACATCCTATAGCCGCCGAGGGTGTTTTCTGTAGGGTAAACATGAAGCCTCGGAGTCCCGGCTGTATTCCAGGCATTTTCATTTGGGTAAGGAGGAACAAACACGCTCTGCGTGGTTATTTACACATTCTGATGCGTGGAACGGGTTCCGCGGCGAACTCCCTTGGTAACCCCGGGCCAGCCCCGTTTCTTAAAAGCGTTTCATGTGCCATCCTCAGGGTTGCAGCATGGGACTCCTCCCCACCACATTCATTCCGGGGTCCCCGCCCCTTCCCCCCAGGGAGACTAAACATTTCCTAAGCTTTATGAATTTTCAAGAGAAAGATTTCTTACATCAGGGAAAAAAAGGACGTTCTGACTCAGCAGCAGACTTGTTAAGACTTGCAAAATGGAAGGAAGAGAGCTTTCCATGGTAGAGCTCTTTAGAAGCATTAGAGGAGGAACTAATCCTGTGTTTCCTTTCGTATAGAAACATTTTACGTAAAGTATTTGAAGGTCTAGATAAAGAATAACAGAGTGATTGATCCATACTACATGATGAGATGGACTTCATGTTCCTGTTCTGTAATTTTAACTGTTTTACTTGATAATTTGAGAAGTGAAACTACTAAATGAATCCTAGAATATAGACTGTAACCCTGAAACAATAGAAGGTAGATTCAGGCTTTACTTGATTTTGGTTTACAAGTAGACTAAGATTAAATATTTGATGTTATAAATTAGCATACTCTTACTGATGTAGGCAGAGTGTACATTTTTATAAGCCTTTATTCTCTTAGTTAAATTTGAATTCTTCTAGTCAGTGTCTCAAATTTATATACATCAAAATAAATACTGGAGAAAGAAAGCAGCATTGCTCCGGGGGACTGTATTTCATGTATAATCTTTGTCTCTGATATCCTGTCTAATGAACTAAGTTTTATGTTACATTTACAATAAGGAAAAAGTACTTTCTAAAAAACTCATACATGGTTCAGAACTTGGTCAGGTGAATAGAATCACCTTAAATAATCTCAATCATTTTTAACAATCAGGCAAAATGTAAAACTGGAGAAGTACTTTTATTATTCTAAATTACAATGTCTAGAAAATAACCTGAGCTCAGAATTTAAAATATAAATGGTTATTTTCACATTACATTTTGATATCTTAAATATTCATTTTTTAAAAATGTATTTTGCAGGGGAAAAAAACTAATTCTGCAACTAAGGAATGTAAAGTCTTAAAAACTGATACTTTTTTTCCAAGTACAAGTTGTATTTTATTGAAATCATTTGCAGCTCCAACAACAAATCTTGAAGTAGGAAGAAAATATAGGCATAGACTTTAGCTCAATCATCCGTTAACACTGCCAGTTAGGATGAGAAAGAGCATACTTTTAAAAGCTACCTGGTGCCTTTCTGGGCTAGAGTTTGAACAAAAACAAGATTTCTTAGTTCTCTGGTACTGGTTTGGTTTTTGAGGATTTACAGCTCTGTGAAATGGGGAAAAGCCATCGTTTGCTATTACATAATAATGTCAAACTTCATATTAAGTATACAAAATTCCAAATCCTGCGAGGGCCTCTACTCACTACCTTTGTGAGGCCCCCATTATTTAGATAGTTACTTTCTGACGTCTTGTAAGTTGGTGTTCTTCCCCTTACTGGAAAATATTCAAATGAAAAGGTTTCTAAGCATGGGGAATGGAGTAGGGTAGGGAGAAGGAGCAGCAGGTGGTAGAGAAGGGACGATGGTCCTCTAGCAGTTTTCATGCCAAGATCTTATGAGTCCATTTTATGGTGTTTTTTGTTTTTTGTTTTTTACCTGAAAATATTTTGACTTTATGATCATTACCTAGGACCTTGACTTTGTATTTGACAGTTCCTTATTCATTTACTCCCACTATCCTGGGCAAGTGTTTTTAAAAATATTTTTGCTATAACCTAATATACATGCAAATACACACTCATGCAACTGAAATAAAGCTATTAAGCAAGTCTTTTAATAATGCAACAAACTCCTTTTTGTAACTCTATTTTCATTTTAAAATCACTAAGTTGATCTCAAATTACAAAGTTGGTTTTAACACCCTCTATCAGATTATGAGCTGAAATTTAAAACTACTGTCCTAGAAGACGATTTCAAACATTTCTGCTCTGTCTGAAAACCTCTTGTCACATCTCTTCTACATGCTTCTGCTAGCACAGAGCACTCTCAGCTGCTGAGTTACATGCTAATTTCACTGAGAAAAGAGAAGCAATCACAGAAGAACTTCCACAGTCTCCCTACATCTGTCCCTGCACACCTTGCCTTCCCTTCCGATAGAACGGATGGCCCTTCTGTCCACATTCCTGTTTAAAGCCAGCCTCTCTAATGGCGGAGCAGATCCTACCCCTAACCTACTCAAGACATGGTGTCCCATAATTTTCCCTCTCTTTCCTTCATGACCTCTTTTCTCTCCAGAAAACACTTCCATGTGCACAATGCTTTACTAGTTCTCACCTTTGAAAAATAAAGCCAAAACCTTTTAACCTTATATTTTCCCTCCTTTAGCTACTGCCTTCTTTTTCTGCTTTTACATTGCCTGAACAGCTTGACCTTTTGACTCTGAGTGTCTCATAGACACCTCAAATTAAACGTGTCCAAAATTAAACTACCTGCCTCACTAGTCCCAATCCCTGTGGTGCCCCATTGTTCTAGTTCCCATTTGTCACTCCATTGTTCTAGTTTGCTCAGGCCAAAAATCTTGGAGTCATAATTCATTTATGTCCTTTTTGCATCATATCCAAGCCATCAGAACATGTTGCTTATCCTATCTTTAAATTATGGCATAACCTAGAGATATCGTGGGTTTGGTTCCGGATTACCACAATAAAGCAAATATACCAATAAAGGAATCACAACAATTTTTTGGTTTCCTAATGTAAAAGTTACGTTTACAGTACATTATAGTCTGAATATAACTCAATTATAGTCTAAAGATAACTTGTAATTATGTTTAAGTGCACAATAGCATTATGTCTGAAAAATGTACACAATACTGCTAAAAAAGTGCTAATGATTATCTGAGCCTTCAAGTCATAATCTTTTTGTCAGTGGAGGGTCTTGTCTCGATGTTCGTGGCTGCTGACTGATCAGCGTTGTGGTGGCTAAAGTTGGAGGTGGTTGTGGCAATTTCTTAAGACAAAAATGAAGTTTGTCTCATCTATTGAATCTCCCTTTCACAAAAGATTTCTCTGTACAGCATGCAATGCTGTTTGATAGCATTTTTGTCCACAGTAGAACTTCTCTCAAAATTAGTCAATCCTCTCTAACCCTGCCAATGCTTTATTATCTAAATTTATGTAATATTCTAAATCTTTTGTTGACATTTCAACAGTGTTCATAGCATCTTCACTAGGAGTAGATTCCATCTCAAGAAACCTCTTTCTTTGCTTATCCATGAGTAGCAACTTCTTCTCTATTTAACTTTTATTGTAAGATTGCAGCAATTCAGTCATATCCTCAGGCTCCACTTCTAATTCTAGTTCTCTTGCTATTTTTACCACATCTACAGTAACTTCCTACACTGAAGTCTCAAACCCCTCAAAGTCATCCGAGAGGTTTGGAATCGGCTTCTGTTAAAACTCCAGTTAATGTTGATATTTTGACCTCCCATGAGTCACAGATATTCTGAATGGCAGCTAGAATTGTGAATCCCTTCCAGAAGGGTTTCAATTTACTTTACCCTTATCTGTCAGAGAAATCACTGTCTTTGGCAGCTCTAGCCTTATGAAATTTATTTCTAAAAGAATACTTGAGGTTGGGTGTAGTGACAACTTAGTGATTTTAAATTTTAAAATGAAAACAGAATTTTAAAAAGGAGTTTTTTGCATTATTAAAAGAATTGCTTAATAGCAGCTTTATTTCAAAAACAATCCCAGCACTTTGGGAGGCCAAGGCAGAAAGATCATTTGAGGTTAGGAGTTTGAGACCCGCCTTCCCAACATGGGAAAAACTCTTCATTTCTAAAACTACAAAAATTAGCTGGGTGTTGTGGCACACACCTGTAATCCCAGCTAGTCAGGAGGCTGAGGCAGGAGAATC